CCCGAGTCGATCTTTGGCACTTTCAGATCTTGTGTGTTGACATTTTTCACGAGCCATTTGCTATAGACATTTCCCACCCGGCCGTAGATCTTTCCAACCAGAGTCCAACCACCATTTTTCATGTCACAGAAAGATTGAATGCTGTCGCTCCATTTCAATGAAGCCTTGATCCAGTACACGCCGTTCTTTGCAGAAGATTTGTTTTGATCACTGCGTTTGGAGTCATGGATCTGCTTGCAAGAGTTTGCTGGGTGCTCCTTTGTTCCAATGGGTGGACCTGTTTGGCAGTTAAGCTGACACCTGTCATCAACGGACACTGTAGGTATTGGATCCACCAGTAACTTCACCTTAATGTTGTCGTAGAAGGTTCTACAACCATAGCGGCTTCCGCTATATACGCTATGGCAACCCAAAGCTATGCCACCACTGGGAATCATCCACTCCTTGTCCACTGTAGAAGTCTGAATAAGCACCTCATTAGCCCACTGAGATATTCTGTTTCCCACCACTCGATACCTGAAATGGAACCACTTATTTTTGGAAAGTGGTTGTGGAAGTTGACATCTGTACTTCCATAAGCCATCTCTGTTGACGATAAAGGTCCTCATTGTACACTTTTTGCGGTCTGTGTAATACTCAAACCACCACGCCGTTGTATATTGTAAATTAGATTCTTGTATTCGTAGGAATGGACCAGGGTAAACAACTCCTGAGCCTGTCTCCATCAGATCAAGTTCCAGTTCAATATCGTCCCAATCCCTTCCTTCATTCAAGTACAAGCCCACTTCAGCGTGTCCGAAAGATGACTTCCCCGTTTTGCCAAACACAGCGCCATTCTTGACAGTCCACTCGCCCCACACCCGCGTCCACTGCTTCAACTTCGAGTCGGAAAAATCCTCGAAGAAAGCGAATACTTTTTTGGGGTCAGACTTCACATTCCCAGCTTTTTCCCCGGCAAATACGAGAGCGTAGGAAGTGGTGTCAACTGTGTTACTGGGAATCATCCTCTGGATTCGAAATTGCACACGTGCTTCAGTTGTGTTCAAGCCGGTGACAACTCGATCGATCTCGTACGGCGACCTCTCCTTGTCAGAAAGGTAAAACACTCGGAGATCTTTGCCATCCGGGGAAGCTTTCTTTTCGTCAACCAGAGCTTTGTGATCCACTAACAGAAAGAAATTAAAAGCCTTAAGACAAAAGAGTATATAAATAACGTATGTCTACACTTCTCAGAAACTTGAGATGCAAGCTAGGGCAAAGGTGCCTGTTACCTTTGACGCTGATTGTGCAATGAGATGGCAAAGCTGACTGAGTCTCAATCAGTATATTCCCTTTGCAGTGGATGTCTTGGGCAAAGAATTGGCTACCACACGTCTCTTCGGAAAAGTTCTGAAAAACTAACAACAAAAATAGTACTATTCTTAGAGACGTTAAGCTGTCTTTGCTTATTAGGAGCAATTTAGTTGCAATTCAGCAAACACTGATGCTTCAAGCAAAAGTCCGAAAATCTTAATATTTATGTGCGTCGGTGTTGGAAGGGTAATAACTGAAATATGTATAAACCATAATTTCTGCCTTTGTCAGTATTTTATTATTATCTGATAACTGTTCTGTCAATGTACGGTTAATTTATCATGACTGCATACCACCTCTACAAATTGGGTTTATTTTTAATTTGCGCTCAGTTCATTCTCCAAACTACAAATTGATAGTGAGTTTCTTGCAGAAAACACATTCTTCAATAAATAAATGGGAATTTGTTCGCGAAAGTCACTCTATAAAACCTATCGCGCAAACACGCGTGCTAAGTTCCAATTCCAATTTGTTGAAGGTAAATTCAGGTTTTACAAAATATGAATTGAAAGTGAAATTTGCGCCAATTTCACT